GAAGAAGGAATAACTGGCAAGTGTGAATACAAGTCTGGTATCCTAGTACAAAAAGTACCTTATCATGGGAATAATGAGAGTAAAGTGTTGATGGTGGCAGTGGGTGAAGGAGGGAATCACTGATGACTTCAGTGTAGTGTTTTGGTAATGGGACAGTTGTCTTTTCTGTTGCCAGCTGCTGTGCTCTATTCTTGTAAGCCAAATTGCAGTTGAGAATGGCTAATATGCGTGAAAGTCTCTTTTCCCCATAGAAACACCTTGCCCCAGTGCCGGGGGTGAAGAAGGTCAGTTCTCCTGGCACAGAGCCTGGCCAGAGTGAGGGCTTCTCTTCCTGCGGCTGTGATGTGCTAGTGCAAGACAGTGTTGTGTGGCCTGCTGCAGCCTCTGGGCGCAGTTCTGTTACATTGTCGGGGGGGTTGGGCAGGTTTGATTTTTATCTTTAGAGCCAGAATTGAGAAAAGCCTTAGCATTGTTTTCTGGTTCATCTCTTTAGACAGGGGAGATTTTTTGGAGGTTTTTTGAAACCCTGGCTGATTGCTTATGCAAGATTTAACCCTAATGAAATAGCTGGTGACGTTTAGTTACAGTAAATTATACCACTCTAGGAGAAAAAACTGACATCAGAGAAGTCCCTGCTAATTCTATTTGTCTCTTCTTGTTGTCTGGATTGCTGGCTTTTCTGACTACTTAGTTCACACTGAACAGTTCTTCTATGTCTCTGCTCTGCTTCTTCCATATTATGCCTTTAAGCATCATCTTCTCCTAGTATGGAATAGGATTTTGTCTTCTGTCCAGCACAATTGTAGGGTGTCTGTGTATATGTGTTGGGGGCGTGAATGCATACTCATACACATTGAGCCCATTCTCTTTTCCTTTGGTGCCGAAGCACAGAACACACAAAAGCTGAGGGACCACAGCTGAAATGAGCATCAGAATGGCTGCTCTGCTTGTTTCCGAAGTCCTAACCTGGCTGGGAGGCTCAGGGGGAAGAGAGAGCAACATCTGGAGAGCATGGCCGTGTCCCCTGGATTTCTCAAGGCCCAGTGTGTGCCTGGAGATGCTTCACTTGTCTTCACTGAACCCAGTTTAGAAGTTGCTTGGTGAATGATTTTATCTGCAGATTTTATTCAATATCTGGGTAGTGGCTGCATTGGTTGACTACTGAGTAAATTTGATCTTTAGGTCTGGGGTTTTTTTTGGGGGGTGGGGTGGTGTGTGTGACCAGTATCAATTTCTTATGTTAAGAAATCTTTCTGACCAAAAAAAGTTTTGGCAAGAGGTGTTCTGCTGCTGCATTCTTACAAACACATGACAATTACTAGATTTTAATGGGTGTCACGGGAAGAAGGAGGCTTGGCCCCAGCCAACTGAGGATGAAAAGCTTCATCTGCATTTGCTTTAAAGCTTTAGCAATAAATACAAGGCTGAAAAGGAACCAGCTTATCAAACCTTTCTGCAGCCTTTAATGCAGCTTGATATACTTGCGATGAGAACTTACTTATTATACACTACTTGTGGTAATGGTTTGAGAGAATTTCCCTGCAGGTCGAGGTGGGCAGCTGTGAAAAAGTTCAAGGCAAGGAAGTTGGTTTTGTTGTTTGGTTGTTTTTTTTTAAATACGAGCCCCTGTATTGGTGGACTGACGACACAAAAAGCCTCTTCTGATGTATGTTACTTTTCATTCTTCTCTTTTTCTTCTCAACTAGATCTTCCTGAGCTATGGACACCATAAATGGTACTGGATTTGGATAGGTCATAGCACAAACTTTCAGTGTGACCTAATTCTGCATCTGCACATCAAAATCAAAGCAAATTAGATTAAGTCACTGAGTATTTTGTTTGTTTCATACTATGAAAAAACTAAGAAAACTTTTCTCTACCCATTGGGATGCTGTACACCTGTGTACCACTCAGATATTTTTCTCACGAGAAGTGCACTTGAGGTGGCAGTCTTAAAAGCAGACAAACCCAACTTCTGCTTTGTCCCTTCAGTGAGGGTACCTCGACACATGTCCCTTCTCTCAATCCCCTGACAGCTTCCAAGAGGCTGATGCAAATAACTGTGCCAGGCTTTGATTATGAGATACTGCACTGCCACTTATTCTCTTTGTCTCCTGCAGTTTACAGATGCAGCTTCAGTGCATAATTTAATCCTTGTACTGGGGACTGTAGCAAATCCACAGAGGTTTCTACCAACCATCCCTCTCTGGCATCAGAACAACATGTGCACGTCTCCTTTGATGTGAATTCCCCAACCAGAGCCTTAGAAGGACCTATAGCTTTGAAGCTGGCCTATAAATTGTGCTTTCAGGAATCAAGTTGTCAGCCTCCTCTTCAGGAAGAAAGGGAGAGTAAACTGTAAAGCAGTTGCATAAAACTACAGGGCAACTTATAGATCTGGTTTTCCTGGCCTTGAAGAATTCCTGTACGATGTTGAGAATCCCTTTTTGCCTGGCTTAGAAGCATCCTCTTTTGTGACTGCAGGACCCTGTGGGTAGTGAGCTGTGATGGTGCTTGATTTGAGGGGTTCCCTAGGCCAGGGCAAATGGAAGGGGAGCAGGTATGCTGGGGCTTTTGACCTGTTCAAGTGGTTTCTGTCTTCCAAAGACAAGCACTGATAATGTGTCTGTACTGGCCTTTGTATAGGTAAATTGTCAGCATGGTTTACAGACACTAACTTTCATCAGGTGTTTCCTATGATGTAGGAGAACAGGCAGACTTCTGCCTTTCTATTGAGATGGAAATAAGCTGGTCTTTGAGTTGAGGAATTTCGGTGGCCAAATCTTGTTTGAAAAGACAAATGCAGTTGCCCTCTTCAGAATTTGATGTCTGCTTATGTGTTCTGCTGTCATCTCTGGGAGCTCTTTCCATACCAGCCTGAAAAAGTGAAGAACTGACTAGAATCAACCAAAGACACTAACCTTGTTTTTTTTCCTGTTCTCCGTCTCTGGTAAGTACAAGAGCTGAAACCGTTCTGCTACTGTCCCTGCCACTGCTGCTAATACTGCTACACCAAACATTCCTAAAACTGACCATGAATGAAAACATTTACTGCACTGTCTGTACTGAACTAATCAGCCTTTCTCAGCATATACAGAGAAGCTTCTTAGCCAGGCTCCTTCACAGATTAATCAGCAAGTTATTAGTATGCTTACAAATATTACACAGAAAAGGACAGAATTGTGTCTGCTTCTCCTGGGTCTTTCTTTCCAGGTTGGTTCCACCATGGAGAAAAGCCCTAAAGGGACATTTTACTGTGCCCTTGCAGGCTAGTGGGAAAGCAGTAGGGTTCTCAGCCCAGCAGGGAGGGTCTCCAGCAATGGATTCTATGACCTCCTGAATGAGTCACTGCATGTATGCTGGTTGGCAAAGGCAGACATCCACACGGATGATGAGCAGCTGCAGAGGGAAAGGTTGTGAGAGCTCAGGGACAGACAAGGCAGAGGTGTCAGTGTATAGGCATTTTGCAGCTCTTGCCTTAATTTGGTAACGGCACTTAAGGCAGTAAAAGGCAGCAGCTGCACTTAGAACTTAACAGTGAAATGCTGGTTTTAGTGTAGTTTGAGTAACTAAATAGGAATAAAATTATATCAGTCTACTAGGAAAATTAATCATGTCATCGTTTGGGGATGGTGCCTCTCTTCCTAGGAAGAGCAGCTTTCCTAAGTCATGGTGAGGTTTTTCTTCAAAATGTACAAGGAACTTCAGTTTCTCTCTATGTATTAGAAGCTGGCAGTATTGGGAAAACAAAAAGAAACGCATACAAATCAACTACAAATCACTGTTAGTGACTGCTGTAACATTGATCTTAAAACTGAATTACTTTTCAAAGTTTTACTTCAAAAAATGACTTTGAAAAAAATTGTATTAAGTGCAAACATAGTAAACCAGATTAATAAAAATCTACACTCAGTTTTTATTTACAATCATATTACTTTTATTTTTTCCATATTCCAAGTTCTCTCCCAGTAACTGATGCTGCTGCAGTGTTTACATTCAATAAACCTATACACTGATAGTACATGCTGCTGCTTTCACATAAGCAAACTGGCCTGCACATGTTGTCTGCACGTCATAAACTGTATACAGACATGGAAGATTCTCCACCAGCATCCAGAGTGTTTCTTGAAACACTGCTGTGGCAGAGGTACAGATCAGCTGTTCTGCTCTCCCAGTACAGAGAGGCAGTTTGTTGGTGTGTCTGATGTACTAAGAGGAAACTAAGTCTAAAAAATTACAGTATTTTATTAATTACTTGAATGCAGTAAACTACAAACTTGCAGGGGAATGGGTGTGCTTAATTCTTGCTGGAAGGAGTTACTGGAACTTCTGACTCTGTTATCAACTTTACTTGATAGGTACAACCTTTTTGTAGTAACTGACTCAGACCTCCAAGTGACGAAGAAATAAAAGGAAGAAGGGCTTGCGTACTTAACTCTGTATTCTCTATTTTAAAAAAGCTACATTTTTTGCATATCTTTTTCATTATCAAAGTATATTTTCTCTTTCAAAGTAAATTGGTTTCTTCGAGTTATTATTCGTAACAGCTCAGGGCTATAACCAGGAGACAGTAAATTCAAAAATCACTCTTTTCTACTGAAAGGTATAAAGAACTACAGCTTATCCTCCTCCTTATAAAGCCAAAGAAGTAATTGGAACCATCTGTTGTATTATGCATTTCTAAAAAATCTTCTCCTGTGCAACTGCTCTAAGACCTCAGGTGGATGCAGTGATTAACACTGTCACAAAAGTGAGCGATTTCTCCTCTTAACCCTGTCACCACTAGCATCTATAGATAAAATCATTGCTTAAAGCTTTAGTACATCACAGAATGGTGCTGATACCAGTATTTTACAACTAATGCAACAGCCAGTAATTCACATGTAATCTTAACAGTTAAAAATTCAAGACTAGGGTACTACCTAAAGAAACCACTAACATGAAGTTTCCTAATCTGGTATGGAATAAAGGGAGGGAAAGTTTAGATAACATTGTAGAGATTGGGCAGGAACAAAAAGAGTTTATTTCTCCATCCAGTATTTTATACGCTTTACAAAAACCAGTAATACCACTGTGCCCATAAAAATGTTATCCATGGCAACAGAAAGCAAATACTACTTTGTCATCTAATGGGGTCTTTTTAAAATCATAATACAAAGGTTTGTGCTGGATAGCAGTCCTCCACTTTGCACTGTAACAATAAGGCTTACTGTACTTGGAATACAAAGCTGTTACATCTGCAGTTATGAACCACTGGCTTTAACAAACATCATTTTATAGTTGCTTTTTGCTTCTTTTTTGCTTTCTGGAACCTCAGCCTCATCATGCTTTTCAGCAGCTTGTAGCTCCTCTGCAGACTCCTCTTGTTCTGACTCAGAGCCACTTTCAGAGTCCTCTGAACTCTCTTCAGAGGAATGTCCAACTGCTTCTTCTTGTTCTTCACTTTCCTGAAACTAGAAGTTCAGATTATGAGACAGATGATAAACCATTATTTCCTGGCAACTCCACTTCAGCTTTTAAGATTTCACAGTGAGAACGTTTTGCTTAATGGCTCCTTTCATTTTAGTTCTAGAACGGGCTCTATTGCTAAACACAAGTCCTTAACATACCAATTATTACACAGAAAGCAGCTCCACTAAAGTGGTTAACCACATACCAACCATGACACTCACGGCTTCACCAGACACAATCTTATTTAGTTACAGCAGAAATCCTAAAAGCACCATTAAGTGAGTTTGAAAAGTTTCAGGTCGCATCAGTTTAGTAAATCCTTACTTTGGTACATGCAGTAGATAACACCTGAACATTTGTCATGGAGTGAAACATAATGAAATGAACAGCCGTACCATCAAGAATTCACGTTTGTGACTGATCCCTGAAATTAAGTTTTGCGCATTGTAGCATGAGGAATGCTGAAGTAACCCAATGATACTGCTATCAAGAACAATCCCCAAAATGGCATTTTGTTCCTGGTCCTGAAGAGCAAAGCCTCTATAGCTGTAATATTAAGAATTCCCAGCACTGCACAGGTGGTTTTGCTCACTCTGGAAAAATCAGCTAAATTTTTATGCAGTAACAGGTGTTAAGAGGTAGCAAAAAAAAATAATTATTGCATCTTTCAATTGGCAGATGAAGACATGTTCCAAATAACCTGATTCTCTTGGGTTTTGTCATGCTTCCTGCTCACTCCTATGGAATTCCTTGCAAGTACAAGACCAGTTCACTGTCAGCTCACTGGAGGACTCTGTACAGCACATTCCCCTTGCCTGATACCTCTACAGCCAACTCCTTTTCAGGACCAAAGAGGTATGTGCCTCACCACAAGAAGAAGGTATGATTAATTAGCTCTCAGCAACAATGCAGATGGTTATCCTGTCTTCTTACGTATTACCTGGCAAGACCCTGATTTAATATCTTTGTCACCTTCTGTCTTCATCAGTCTTGACTACTGAGCATTAAACATGTCATATGACTTTTCAGAACAATAAGAAACATCAATCATTTCTGGGCCACCACAACATACACCATTAGGGGTAAAGTGCCTCCAGGAAGTTTCTTTTTTAACCCAAACTGCAGCAGTTTGCCAGCAGTTGTAGTGATGGATTTTTAAACCGTGTATCATCTTGTCTTAGTGGACTGAAAGGCAAATTGTTATGGAAATAAACAACTTACTACCTCACTGAAACCAAGTCCACAATGGCGGCGGTTTCGTCCAGACATCGTACTGTCCATGCTTTGTTGGTACTGAGACTCCAATTCTTCATTCATTTTCTTGTCTTCTTCCCCTGCATTGTCCAGTGTACTTTGGTTATGGTTCATTCAAATTAACAAAGATATCAAATTACATGAAGTCACATTTTCAAAGTTTATCAATATATTTGTGAAAGAAGTTTAAATTCAGCCATCTTAAACTACTGGACTGAGTATTACTGTGTACAAATCATCATATTTATAAGCAATCACATCAGTGTGCAAGCAAAACTGCTTTGATACAAAGATGGGTTTGTAAGTTTCTAAGAGCTGATGCATCCAGACAGTTGTACTATGCATTGCCTTATGTTCCACTAAACCAGGTAAATGCAACCAATATGGCTTCTCTGTACTTCCTGACAATGCTACAACATGTCACAGCAAGGAAAAAGTTTCTGACCTTCACTTCATGTGATTCTATGATTAAACCATGAATAATATATAGTAACAGAAGTTGGGACAATACCACCACTTTTGTATATAGAGACATATCTGAAACTGTTTTATGACTGAATTACCAGGAGCGGTTACTATATCTCTGTATTTTTTGTATCTTCACAAACTAGCAGAAAAACTGGTTCTTATGAGCTAGTTCTACATGCCCTTTTTACTTACTTTAGTATGTAAATAATCATTTTTACTGGGGGAAAATATGGTCTAAAATAGTTAAAAAACTGCTTTTCTTTTAAAAGGTAGGAATCTCTAATTCTCCCTCAACAGGCCTGTAATAATCTAGTTTTCAATTTTCAACTCTGTAAAATTAAAAAAATTAAAACTTCTATTGCAAATTAGTATTTCCTCATTTGGAAGTTAGAGCTGTGTGTTATTATAAAAGGAAAATAACTGTATGTTGGACAAGGAAGCGTTAAGAAAATAGCTATTCTGATTTTTTGCGAAAAAGCACCATCTTAACTTTCTGCTAATGACAAAGCAGTAGTGATTCCTTACGGCTCCTTAGGGCAAACATCTCCCTTCTCGGAAATTCAGGTATAAGAAAGTGATTCTCAGTCATTCTGCAGGCAAACAGCAGAACCTGGAACAAATCCCCAGGCTTCTTTTGGTGTTTTGGCCCACGGATAATTTTTCATCAACTGAAAAATTACTAGTGGAGTGTATCAGAGAAAGGAGCTTTCTTAAACTCTCGCAGTTGCTATTCTACACAGCTTTATCAAAGCTTCTCTCACAGCAGTCAAGCTCAGCCTGGTTTCAATGTATTCTGACTTAATACTAAACAAGCATGATAAGAAGTTATCATGGTCACACATTACATGACATCAAATTACTGCTGACAGCCAAGATGACCTTGCAGATCTTTCAAGCTTCTACCTCACTGCTTTAAGGCAGAGATCTTTCTATTCAATAGGTAATCAGGTGGGGGGCAGAAATCAACCCTGTTCTTTTCTATGCCCAACAATGTAAGAGGTGTCGATATCCATTCCTGACAACAAGGAAGAAGTATAATACTGCTAGGATATCAATAGCAATAAGATTTTACTTTCTTATTTTGACAGCAAAGTAAGACTGAGGACCTATAGGCTGGTTTCCAGGGCACTTGTACACAAGTTTAACTGACCATCAATACTTTGCTGACTTGGACTTCAGAAGACTTGGACTTCAGAAGACAAGAAAGCACAGTCAGAGAAACTTTGTCAGTAATCTAACAAGAGAAATTAGGAACTTCTATAAATCCATAGCCTGAACTGTCTTCAACTTCAGCCACAAAATCTGAAATCCCTCCCTGCAGTATCTGTGAAGCTCAAGGTACTGAGATGCTCCTAAATAAGGGTTAGATTTCCAACTTTGTATCAGCTGTTGGATAAACTGACCTGTCCTGAAGTGAGAGGTTGATCTGTGGTCTCCGATAACAAGGCGGCCAGTATGTTCTTTCTAAAAGAAAAGGCAGTTTGTTTTGGAACTTCAGGGTGCACTGACAGCTCTGCCAACATTCTGGAAATCTTGAATGGAAAAGGTTTGCTGTCAAACCTTGACAACCAACTGTAGAACTGTAAGTTTCACTAGCTAACAACTGCTGCCTCTTGATGAACTTGTTTCACCTTCAAATTTACTGAAAAAGAAACCCCAATGACTAAATACTTCTTACTCTTCCCACACCCCAAAGCTGGTACTTTTCCATTTCTAAAACTATTTCATTCTGTTTCTTGCCACTGATATGAAAACTACACTACACAATGCTGGACATGTGTGAGTATAGGTTCTGACCTCTCCTTCTCTGGCACTATGCAATACTTCAGTCAGTGCAGCTTACAATGATCCCACTTGTACACTGGTTACAGTATCAAGTAAGATCTTCACAGTGCTCATTAATTAATTGGCTCAGTAGTTGTTCATTAGCAAATGTGTCCCTATAGGCAAGAACTGGCATTACATAGCAAGCAGTGTTAAGTATCCAAGCAGACATTGTTAAGATTAGTGGTAGTTGGACGCTTTAATAGGGCATTATATTCCTGTCCACAAGGAAGTATAACTTTCACCTCAATACAGTAAAACGTTTTTGCTTACAGAAATATTCTATTCAAACAAAATGAGCTAGTACAAGTGAAATTATATTTCTTGTAGGTATGTAGAATTGCAATACTAAACCAACATTTTTTAAATGGAAAAAGCACAATCATACTTTACTAGTTTGCAGCATTTTTTGCAAAAAGTGTAGTAGAAACACAGTTTTAGAGGACTTTATCTTTAAAATATTTCCCGGGTGATTTAATTAGGTTTGCTATTTCACCGGTTTAGCCTGTCAGCAACCTTTTTTTTTTTTTTTTCTCTCCCCTCAAATAGAAGAGAATTTTACAGACCTAGTGTACAGGTTTGCTGATTTACAACAACAACTCTCTCGGAAGTGTTAACAAATAATTTTATTAGCTGGTCTGAAAGGATAAAGGGGTGAGAGGAAGCTGCAGGGCAGGTGGTAGACCATTTAAGACCTATGTTTTGCGTTACACCACTGCTGACATAAGACAGCTGTGGCTGTGAAACCCAAATCCTCCTTAAAGGAGAGTCCCAAAGCAGAATTGCTTTTGAGTGTTCTCTTTTTCTCCTGAGAGCCCTGCGGCCTGCAGCAAGCCTCCTAGGGAGGTTTCGCTGCATCGCAAATACAAAACCCCACGGAGCCGCTGGGGTGGGTGGAACCTCCTCCCACTCGGGTCCCCGTGTGCTCGCGGGGGGCAGCGGCGCGTCCTCACCTTCCCAGCACCCATGAGCCGCAGGAACTTCTGCTTCCGCTCCTCGTTGCCAAGGTCCGCC